GTTTTTTTATTATTTAGGGAGCATTATAAATAGTGATGTTTTTAAAAGAAAAAAAAAAACTACTATTGTTATAAATAACACATTTAATTGAACTGAACTATGCATGCCTATTTAAATATATTTACACATGGCTTGTCTATTCACCGCGTTCGGTTGTCACGTATACCGGTATGTTTTGCAATCTGAGGGTCGCGGGTTCGAATCCCCGTCCCATCAAACATGCTCACCCTTTCAGCCGTGGGGGCGTTATAATGTGACGGTCAATCCCACTATTCGTTGGTAAAAGAGTAGCCCAAGAGTTGGCGATGGGTGGTGATGACTAGCTGCCTTCCCTCTAGTCTTACACTGCTAAATTATGGACGGCAAGCGCAGATAGCCCTTGTGTAGCTTTGCGCGAAAATCAAAACAAACAAACAAACAATGTTTGGCGACAGGAGTTCGAACCCGCAGATTGCGAATTGAGTGCCCTAACCACCAATCCATGCCAGACCAGGATTTAGGTTATAGCTTCCCTTAATATTTAACTACTGATTAGAGGACGTCTCTTTAAATAATAACGAGAGTTCAGAGCACGTTCGAGTCTCGAACCTCGGTTTCTCGACCCACAGCCCGACACGCCCGTTAATGGAACGTCAGTGGTATTATTTCGTTCACGTATAAAGCAGTTTTTTTTTTAAACGTTCAGAAGAAAATAATATATTTAGATATACACAATTATGGATTGAAAAACACGCGTCATTTGTGTCAGGAAAAAGATCTTGCCTGTGTATATCGCTGTTGTACGCGATCATAGGATTTACTCATCTCGAGATGGCGCTGCGTTTTTTTAGTTATTGCACATTCGCACACACACAACTCAAGATGGCGCTGCGCCGTCTAGCGATCACATGATCTCGCACACATCTCGCAGATGTAGTTACAAAGTACTGGTTGGAAGCTCAACACCAGATCGTTGAAATGACTTTAATAATGCCAAATATGTCGCTCTTGTTCATAGTTTCTTAAGGCCTGCGTACGCCGTTATTTGTTTTCCCAGCATGACTTAGTTGTGGCTTTCATTAACTGTTAATATTGCGTTGAAACACTTGTCACCTTTTCCTGGAGGATTGAAGTATTGCAGTACGTATGTATGACGGTCTCTGAAGAGCTAACTTTTCCTTCAGAGAGTACGTTGATGCTGCTTGGCGTGTGAGGGTTGTGACCACCGGTATCAAAAGGAGTACCAAAGCTACACACAAGAGCTATCTGCGCGTAGCTATCCCTAATTTTGATTTGATATACAAGAGGGAAGGCAACTAATCAACAGACCCACCGCCAACTTTGTTGCTACTACCGTCTGACTGAACAGTGGTATTTGACTGCCACTCTTATAACGCACCCCCACCCAAGACGGAACGCGTTTTTGCAGCAACAAGCTGCGAACCCTGAATCCTCGTATTCACATCCCAAACAAGAGTGGTCTACGAAGACCTAAAGAAAAGTTGATATATCAGGTTCCAACTTTTGATTTACAGTTCCAAAAAATAAATTATACACGATAATAGAAATATTTGTTCTTGATCTTTTAATAACAAAAGTATCATACTTCCAGAATTCACATCCAAAAGTATCATACTTCCAGAATCCACACCCACAAGTATCATAATTCCAGAATCCACATCCAAAAGTATCATACTTCCAGAATCCACACCCACAAGTATCATAATTCCAGAATCCACATCCACAAGTATCATACTTCCAGAATCCACACCCACAAGTATCATAATTCCAGAATCCACATCCAAAAGTATCATACTTCCAGAATCCACACCCACAAGTATCATAATTCCAGAATCCACATCCACAAGTATCATACTTCCAGAATCCACATCCACAAGTATCATACTTCCAGAATCCACATCCAAAAGTATCATACTTCCAGAATCCACATCCACAAGTATCATACTTCCAGAATCCACATCCACAAGTATCATACTTCCAGAATTCACATCCAAAGTATTATACTTCCAGAGTCCACATCTACAAGTATCATACTTCCAGAATCCACATCCACAAGTATCATACTTCCAGAATCCACATCCAAAAGTATCATACTTCCAGAATCTACATCCAAAAAGTATCATACTTCCAGAATCCACATCCACAAGTATCATACTTCCAGAATCTACATCCAAAAGTATCATACTTCCGGAATCCACATCCACAAGTATCATAATTCCAGAATCCACATCCAAAAGTATCATACTTCCAGAATCCACTACCACAAGTATCATAATTCCAGAATCCACATCCAAAAGTATCATACTTCCAGAATCCACACCCACAAGTATCATAATTCCAGAAGCCACATCCAAAAGTATTATACTTCCAGAATCCACATCCACAAGTATCATACTTCCAGAATCCACACCCACAAGTATCATACTTCCAGAATCTACACCCAAAAGTATCATACTTCCGGAATCCACATCCACAAGTATCATACTTCCAGAATCCACATCCACAAGTATCATACTTCCGGAGTCCACATCCACAAGTATCATACTTCCAGAATCCACATCCACAAGTATCATACTTCCAGAATCCACATCCACAAGTATCATACTTCCAGAATCCACATCCACAAGTATCATACTTCCAGAATCCACATCCAAAAGTATCATACTTCCAGAATCCACACCCACAAGTATCATACTTCCAGAATCTACACCCAAAAGTATCATACTTCCAGAATTCACATCCAAAGTATTATACTTCCAGAGTCCACATCTACAAGTATCATACTTCCAGAATCCACATCCACAAGTATCATACTTCCAGAGTCCACATCCAAAAGTATCATACTTCCAGAATCCACATCCAAAAGTATCATACTTCCAGTATCCACATCCAAATTAAATAACAGCATGCCTTTCTATTTACGAGATTCTATGAAAGTAAAACTTTAAGCAAGAAGCAGCTGTTTTTCTGTTAAGCGCAAAGCCGCACAATGGGATATCTGTACTGTGCCAATCACAGGGATCTAACTCCGAATTCTACGGCTACAAAACCTCAAGCTTACTGCAGAGCCACAGACATGGAGTGATCGTTGTGCTTAAACTAGGGTTTGGCTTAGGTTAAAACTAATAACAGTAACAGTTCATGCGAGTGAGATATACTACGGAGTTTTAGTGCTCTGTACGTCATGGAAATGCGAGCAGCTACAGAATCCCCCCCCCCTTAATAAAAGGATGCCGAAATTAGAATAACATACACCTATAACTAATCCCCAAAAAAGTATACGAAACAAAACAAACATGTACCAAAGCTTTCTTTAATTTCACCATATTTTGTATTATGTCATAAAATAAATACCAACATTAAAAGTATGTGTTGCTATAGTAACCCAGAGTATTGACCTGTACCGACTGATGCAAGTGTCATTTTATGTTTTCCTTTTGGAAATTATATCCTAAAATATTACAAGTTAATGTTGAAGAAAGTGCGAGTAAAGCATTGGGTAGAAATAATCAACCAAAGTGTAAACTAGACACTTGAGCAAGAGCGTTTAGAAGCATGTAATGAGAGTTATGGAAATCATTCTGAATATATCATATAAAACACTGTTACGTGTTTAAGTAAGGTGTAGATAATAAGACTTCTACACTGTTACGTTGTTTAAGTAAGGTGTAAATAATAATACTTCAACACTGTTACGTGTTTAAGTAAGGGTAAACAATAATACTTCAACACTGTTACGTGTTTAAGTAAGGTGTAAATAATAATACTTCAACACTGTTACGTGTTTAAGTAAGGTGTAAACAATAAGATTTCTACACTGTTACGTGTTTAGGTAAGGTGTAAACAATAAGACCTCTACACTGTTACGTGTTTAAGTAAGGTGTAAACAATAATACTTCAACACTGTTACGTGTTTAAGTAAGGTGTAAACAATAAGACTTCTACACTGTTACTTGGTTAAGTAAGGTGTAAACAATAAGACTTCAACACTGTTACTTGTTTAAGTAAGGTGTAAACAATAAGACTTCAACACTGTTACTTGTTTAAGTAAGGTGTAAACAATAAGACT